AGCTTCGGGGTATCTGTTGATGTAGGTGAAGGAATTATTATTGTGTAATTATATATATATATATATAATATATATATATATATAAATATATATATATATATATATATATTTATATAATGTCGTGCCGAATAGGCAGAACTTGCGATCTTGGCTTAAATAGCAACGCTCATCTTGCCATATAGGACAAGTGAAAATTTGTGTATGCAATAATTTCGCCAAAATCATTCTGAACCTAACGAAAAAAATATATTTCACTGTGTTTGTTTAGTATTAAATTATTGTAAACAATAATAAAATATATTTAGTTGGATTAGGCTAAAATAAATTGTTTTTGTTATAATAAGGTTAGGTAAGTTTTCTAAGTTCCTTTTGATGCACAATTATAAATTTTTACATCAACATTAATGAAAAAAATATATCTTTAAACGTATAAGAGAAAATTTTGGAAAGGACTTATTTTTAAATGAGTTCTTGCTAATTGACCAGTTTTACATATTCGGCACGACATTATTATATATATATATATATATTATATATATATATATATATATATATATATATTATAATAATGCACACACACGCAAGTTTTATACAACGTAATATTCCTATACCTTAATCAGACAAACTTTTACCTAAAAGGAAAGAAATGACCTTTCATTTGAATATCTTTTTAGAAAATATCGCCCCTAAATGAAAAAAAAAGAGTAACGAAAAAAAGTAACTTTAATGCATATTGCATGTAATATTTATAACAAATAAAACAGCTTATAGCATCATTGTTATCATGTTTGTACATATATTACTACTTATTTCTTAGAATAAACCAAAGTTGCAGTTTTTTTGTTTTGTTTTTGCAAGCAGCATACAATTCCTACATAACTTTGATTGCACATTCACCACACTGATTACTTCTTGGTATATTGAGTGCGGACGGCACCTGCTTCCAGTGATTTTTCAATGAGTTCAATGTTTTTTTGTAAGGTTTCAATTTTTCTGAAAAATTCTTGAAGTCATTTTTCATCATAGATGTGATCAGTAAAACAATAATCTGTCCAGGTGTATGAAATGAATCGACATATGTTCTCCAAAGTCTTCCGTCTTGTAGGTATAACAATGAATGTAAGAATAGTTAGAATGGCTCTTGAATTTCACCTCGAATTGCGGATGTTTGGAATTTTCTGAAAGTTAATCAAAGGAAAGTGCCATTTTCTTCAAAGAATCTAAACACTTGTGTTGGTTGATACAAAAACTTTATCTCTGTCCAACCTGATTGATGGAGGATCTCTTCTGTTCCATTAACAAACTGTGCCTTTAGTTCCTCATAATTCTTCACCAGTTGGGATACAAATGGATACTCGGTGTTTGAGGAACTGATTTTAGCACCAAGATTTTCATCCATTACCAAACTGAGAATCCTGTCCAGAACGTGATGCTGACAACTGATAATTTGACAGTTAGTACTTTCCTGAGTTGCTACTTATGAGTAGTAACGCAAATATATGGTGATTCATAGTGTTTATTTAGGGGTGACATTTCTCGAAAACTGAGAGGAATTAGGGACTTTTTCGTTGTTTTCAAACAAAAAATCATCGATTTACGACACACATGTTTTATCTGGAAAAAAAGGAAAAAAGTTATGCCCTATAATATATATATATATATATTATATATATATATATATATATATATATATATAATATATATATATATATATATATATATATATGTCGTGTCTAATAGGTAAAACTGGTCAATTAGCAGGAACTCATTTAAAATTAAGCCTTTCTTAAATTTTCTCTTGTACGTTTAAATATATATGTTTTTCATTAATGTTAATGTAAAAGTTTATTAATTTGCACCAAAAAAATCTTAGAAAATTTACCTAACCTTATTATAACAAGCGCAATTTATTTTAGCCTAATCCAACTAAATATATTTTAAGTATGTTTACAATAATTTAATACTAAACAAACACAATGAAATATATTCTTTTCGTTAGGTTCAGAATTATTTTTGCGAAATTATTGCATACACAAATTTTCGCATGCCTTATTCGGCAAGAATAGCGTTGCTATTTAAGCCAAAATAGCACGTTTTACCTATTCGGCACAACGTACATATATATATATAATATATATATATATATATATATATATAATATATATTATATATATATATATAATAAATTTATATATATATATATAATAAATTATATATATATATAATAAATTTATATATATATAATAAATTTATATATATAATATATATATATTATATATATATATATATATATATATATTATATTATATATATATATATATATATATTATATATATATATATATACATACATGTTCGCAAACAGGCGAAATTATTTTCAAACATCGTCTCTACGTCCACATCAGAAATCGAACCTGTAAACTCTCTATTACAGTCCACAGTACTTTACCACGGAGCCAGAGCCCAGAAATGTATGGGCGCCTAGC